GACATCCTAAGAAAACATGGATCTTCTTTAATTGGTATTACTTTGCATTAGGAGCCGCAATATTGATAGCATCAACGGTGCTTGTGTACATCCAAGACCATGTAGGATGGAGCTTAGGGCTCGGAATTCCCACCATAGCCATGGCTTTGTCCATAATCGTGTTCCTTAGCGGTTACCCTCTTTACCGGAATCTTGATCCTGCTGGAAGTCCCTACACTCGTGTCTTACAAGTCTCTGTTGCTGCCTTTAGGAAGAGAAAGATTCCATTGATTTCTAATCCCAAGTTTTTGTATGTCAATGAGGTGCTTGATGCCCCTATTTCCACTGATGGACTGCTGCATCATACAAAACAATTCAAGTAAGTTGCCGCTTTGCATCATTTCATATAATTAATGATTAACCAATTGAAAATATCTGTGTGCAAAATGCAGATTTCTGGATAAGGCTGCCATTGTGACTGAAGAAGATAATGTGAAATCATCAGAAAAACCCAATTTTTGGAGACTTAACACTGTCCATAGAGTTGAAGAACTAAAATGTATAGTCAGAATGCTACCAATTTGGGCAGCTGGTATTCTGTTTGCCACATCCAATGCTCAACAGAACACATTTTCATTACAACAAGCCAACACAATGAACAAACACCTGACCAAGTCTTTCGAGATTCCCTCCGCGTCGATGTCGGTCTTCTCCATGTTGTCGATGCTCATCATGATAGTCTTATACGACCGCCTACTGGTTCATGTCGCCCGCAGGTTCACAGGGCTTGATCGAGGAATAACATTTTTGCAGCGGATGGCCATAGGTTTTTTCATCTCAATACTAGCAACTCTGGTAGCTGGATTCGTGGAAGTGAAGCGAAAACATGCAGCCTCGGCCGATGGCCTAATCGACCACCCCAAATCTACAATTCCCATCTCTGTATTTTGGCTCGTGCCGCAGTATAGCATTCACGGCATTGCCGAGGCTTTTCATGGTTATCGGTCACCTCGAATTTTTCTATAACCAAGCTCCGGAGAGCATGAGGAGCACTGCAGCAGCTTTGTTCTGGACATCCATTTCAGCTGGGGACTACACAAGCACAATTTTGGTAACGCTAGTCCACAAGTATACAGATTGGCTTCCCAACAAGAACTTGAATAAGGGGAAGTTGGAGTATTTTTATTGGTTGCTCACAATTTTGCAAGTTCTAAACTTTGTGTACTACTTAATATGCGCTAAATTTTATACTTTCAAGGTTCTGCAGAGCCAAAAAATAGAACATGATGAAGGGGTTGAACTCACTGCCCAGGTTTAACACTGCCCTTTGCCTTGGCATGAGAGAGGATAGTCCTGTACATATGCCTCTCTTAATTAGCTCGTACAAGAAAATGGAATTAGAGTTTTCCAGTTCTATCAATTTAGTCTTAAATCCTAAATTTTATCTTCTTTTATTCTGAACAATACCAGATGCGAAGAATATGCAACATCCATAAATACCCAGAAATGAAAATCTATCTAATATTTCCCTCTTGTACAGAGGAATAGACTCTGGAATTTTTTAATTTCAATGTAGTTTAGGTATTTTTTTTATATTTTACATTGATATATAATTTCACACTTTTTAAAATTTTGCAATTTCCTATTCCCTAAATTTCTAATATAACTTCTTAAAGGTTTGTACATCTAACGTAAAATCTTGCGTCGTTCCTACTTATAGGTGGTGATGGACGAGGGGTGTGGTTGTACTCCTGAACATTTCAAAATCTCACGCAATTTAAGTATTTTCTATATATTTTCTATTGATGATCTAACTTTATTTTCCCTAAAATTTTATGATTTCACACATTTAAGATTTTAATACAATTTATTAAATTTATACCCTTAAAATAAAATCATACGTTTAAATCTACATCAAAGTATTGATATTGGGTGACAAAATCTCATAAGGATTAATCCCACAAGGCACGGATAACATTTCATATCTCGGATAATTTCTTCGCATAGTAATAAGGAAATTATAAGATGAGATATTCGATTCTCTAAGTTTGAGGATAGAAAATCTAGGTTATTAGAGTTAATTGTATCATATGTCTTTAAAGTAATGATCATCATTTTGAATTGATCTCTAAACTTTTAAATGTTTTAATTTCATCCCTAAATTATGACTATCATTCTAAATTAATCCTCAAACTTTTGAACATTTAAATTCCATCCCCAAACTATGACATTCATTCTAAATTGGTCCCTAAACTTTTTGAACATTCCAATTTCATCCCAAGCTATACATATATACTAATTGCATCACTTGTTAATAAAATCATTAGGCCAAGTTATTTATTATTGTATGTTTGAAAAAAATAAAATTTAGGTTAAACTATGGTTGAAACTGATTACATATTTGGATGAATTTAAGAATAAAATTGAAATATTCAAAAGTTGGGGACCAGTTTAGAAAGAGGGTCATAGTTTAGGGATAAAATTAGAATGTTCAAAAGTTTAAGGACTAATTTAGAATAAAAGTCATTGTTTAAGAAAGGAATTAGAATATTTAAAAGTTCAAAGACTAATTTAAAATGAGAGTTATAGTTTGGGGACATATGATGCAATTAACTCGTGTTATTTTTCTTCAAAAATAAATTCTAGGTTATTATATAATATTTGAGCAAGGTCGGGGATTGAAATACATTTAGAGATTAAGAACACAAGATGGTGGGAAATGGTTGTTTTACCAAAACAATTATAATAACCCAGGATTGATATTTTGATAACATCCCTATAAATGATAAACCAAATAGATTCCCACTTGTTTGTTACCAAATTGGTTAAGATTGTGTTTAGGTTAAGGATTAATACAAAAATCAGTGTCTAAATTTTATCTAAAAAACTATTTGGTGTTTAAAGAAATTTTTTTGCTAAAAGTAGGTGTTTAACATTTTTTCGGTTACACTTTTAGGTGTCTACCATTATATTTTTTAATTATTTAATAATAAAAATATTATTTTTAAAAAAAAATTAAAAAAACTTAATTTATTTATAAAAACCCCAAATTTTTAATCAAATTATTAAAAAAACTCTAAAAAACAAAAAATATATCATTTCAACCCCATTACCAATCGTTACTAGTCATTTCAGGCCACCATCATCGTCGAACACTTGGGTTTTGATCCAAATTGCACAATGGTTCGAATAGTGGTGGCGGTGTCTTTTATGGACGTCGGGATCGGCCGAAACTAACGAAAAACAATGACAATGGCTTAAAATCCAACGAACCTTTGAATGTTTCTCTATGACAAACGATGGCAGTTTACGATGAAAGACCAACAAGGGTTTATTCGGGGGGTCGACGTTGGTGCTAATGAAGGTGGTGGTGACGATCACGACTGACCGGCCAATGACTATGGAAGGGGGAAGGGGGAAGGGAGAAGGGGGAGAGAAGGGGGATGTGACATGAGTCACTTAACGACCATTATGGTCCAGACACCTAAAAGTGCTCCGATGAAAACGTTATGCATCTATTTTTAACAAAAATAAAGTAGACACTAAAACATTTTTCGAGACAAAATTTAGACACATATTTTTGTATTAAGCCTTAGCTTAATTTGAATCTTTCCACTAGACCAAATAGATTCTCCACTTGTTTCATACCAAATTGGTTAAGATTGTGTTTAGCTTAATGTGAATCTTTTCTTACACTATATGGTTAAAAGCTCTCAGTTGACATCTTTTCCCTCCCATACATTGTGAGTTCAATATTTATTGTTGTAAAATTCACTTTTCCTCCCCTAGGTAGGAATTGTTATAAAAAAATGATTGACTAAACAATCATATATATATATATAAGGTAAGATCCATTCACGTCGTGTAATTTTTTTAAGTTTATATCTTTTAGAAATTTTGGATTAACAAAAATAACGGTTAAAATTAACAGTGAAAAATGAGAAGATATTCAAAAAAAATAAATAAAAAGATAATCTCGGTAGATTATTTCATTCATTAAATGATTCTAAAAATATAAAATTTAAAAATTCACGTCGTGTTTTTTTAAGTTTATATCTTTTAGAAATTTTGGATTAACAAAAATAACGGTTAAAATTAACAGTGAAAAATGAGAAGATATTCAAAAAAAATAAATAAAAAGATAATCTCGGTAGATTATTTCATTCATTAAATGATTCTAAAAAATATAAAATTTAAAAATTTTATATTAAATGTAAGTGGATTCTAATCTTGTATAAAGATTAAATATTTAAATAGATATGATCGTGTAAAAGTGAAGGAGAAAAAAAGGTTTTATTTTTTCTGCTTTTTCTTTTATTTCACGTAGCAAATGAGAAATGAGATAAAATGAGCGTTTTGGCCCTCTTTAAACACCCCACACAATTACATTCTCAAATCCAACAATTCACAACATTTCTCAGTTAATATCATATCAAAATCTATGATTAATATGTTGTCCCTAATTAATACATCAATTGATGCAAATTAAAGAGAGATTTCTTTTCCGAGATTACGTAGGAACTTAAAATCTTCACATCTAAAACATAATTTCATTTGTTATTTTAATTTTGCATCATAATAACTACACACGTGTATTTTTTTGGCACCACCAGTAGCCCATACCATGAGCCATAACCATCATACGAGATTAGGCAAATCAATTAAATGGCAGTATTACCATTTCGTTTTTGATGGAACAATCGTTGTCAGTGTAACTAATTAAAAGCTGAAAATAACAAAACTTGCCAAACATCCTTGCCCACCAATTAATATGTAATTCCTATTGAGAGGAAAAAAAATTCACTCTCATCTCATGTAAGACACATTCAGTCCAACTTTTTATTAAATTTCTATCAATTTTATGGCAGTAAAAAGGGTTACCGGCTTGCACTGACTAGTAACAGTTGAAAAACCTTTCCTTTCGGGTCACTCTCGTATTGGGCTTATATAGTATTCAATTCAGATTGGTTGATTAATAGATCAGATACCAACAGTAATATCAAAAACATGTCCTCCTTACCCATCATAAATAGGGTTCAAGGGGTACCATTTTAGTTGCAGCAAGCTAGATGGAGAAAATGGAGGAGAACGCTAACAAGCAAAATAATGCTGAAAGGCCCAAGGGAGGGCTCATCACCATGCCCTTTATTTTTTGTAAGCTTAATTTCATTATGTTTTCGTTTGAAGTTGCACTTCTAAATTTCTGCTACATAACTTTGGTTTCTTTGTTATATGATGCAGCGAATGAGGTCTGTGAGAAGTTGGCCGTGGTAGGATTTTATGCCAATATGATTAGCTACTTAACGACGCAGCTTCATATGCCGTTAACCAAAGCAGCCAACACTCTCACCAACTTCGGCGGAACCGCGAGCTTGACGCCATTGCTCGGGGCTTTCGTCGCCGATGCATACGCCGGTCGTTTCTGGACTCTAACCATCTCATCTGTCATATACCAAATAGTGAGTCTCGGTTCTCCCCCCCTTAGATTCAAAGTTCTTTTGTCTACAATCAACACTCATGTTACTATTTCATTGATTAGGCGATGACATGTTTAACACTATCAGCAATACTTCCACAACTTAGACCGCCGCCTTGTAAAGGTGAGCAAGTGTGCCAACAAGCTACTTCAGGACAATTGGCAATCCTATACGGATCTCTCTTACTCGGCGCCTTGGGCTCGGGCGGGATTCGACCGTGTGTGGCGGCATTCGGGGCGGATCAGTTCGACGAAACGGATCCAAACCAATCAACCAAGACATGGAAATACTTCAATTGGTACTACTTTGTGATGGGGGCATCTATCCTAGTGGCTGTAACGGTGCTTGTTTATATTCAAGACAACATAGGCTGGGGATGGGGACTTGGAATCCCCACTATTTTCATGTTCATCTCCATCATTGCATTTGTCGCCGGTTACCCGCTTTACCGACAAATGGACCCTGCGGGGAGTCCATATACCCGGTTGTTACAGGTCTCTGTGGCAGCTTTCAAGAAGAGGAAATTGGCTATGGTTTCTGCCCCTGAGTTGCTGTACCAGAACGAAGAGCTTGACGCATCGATTTCTATAGGTGGAAAGCTTGTTCACAGTAAACAAATGAGGTAAGCTTTCTATTCATCTCTAATCTCCATCTTCAGTTTCATTCTCCTAACAGTTATATTCGGGAAGAATGAAGAGGGTATAACTTAAATATTTCCTTCGTATTTTCTATTGATGATCTATTTTTAATTTAATTTTTTTTATAAATTGATCCCTTATATAAAATTATATATTAGTCCATTCCATTAACGTACAATCCTAATTCCACCCATAATTACTTAATTGTGACATTAAAACAAGCTATCATATAATTTGTCATTATAGTTGAGATATCCCCACTAATAATATATTATATATATACATAATACACACGTGATAATATATTATTTTACATTTTCCAATTTCTCTTTTGATAGTTTTTTATAAATACATGCATTCACTTTTCTCAACTTTTCCAAAATCTTTTTCTTTTATAAAATCATACTTTATGGATTCTTCATCATATAAAAAGATTTCAAAATCTCTTTCTTAACTATTATGGAGCTTAAGTTTCACCAGTGTTATTTGTTTTAGTTCTTCTCGTATTTTTATTAATTTAAACTCTTTTATTATGAAATAAAATAAAATAATAATAAGATAATCACATGATAAAACTTTATATATATATATATATATATATATAGAAACAAAAAACAAATTAAATGATTTGATCCGTATCTCATATGTTAATTTTTTTTCCCAAAATATTTGTTTTACTAAATGACTATTTTTATCATCACGTATATTATTGTTGCTGTCATTTTGGAGAATCCTTGAAGTATGCAAAAGAGAAGATGAATAATTTGTGAATGTGAATGGTGCAATAATTGGGAGTAGGGCCGCCGGCCGGCCATGCCCACAACCTCTGGTCTCATCAGCAAACAACCACCATACACGTGCTACTACTATTTTATTACAATGAGACAAAAACTACTTTTAAATGTCTGTACCAGAAACCATCATACCCATACAAAATCAAGGCTTTACTACATGTTTATATTATTATTTTTTAGTTATTTATAAAATAATAATTTTAAAAGATGGTTTATCAAAATAACATCATTTTAATATTGCATATAAAAAGATATATATTGTGAGTCGTACTTTTAAAAAACACTACGCCAATTGCATCTTCTTAAAAAATACGTCTTTTATGGTGGGATTTTGTTTATGCAAGATAGAAATTATGCATCAAAGGACCAAATTGAATGAAAGATGTGTTAGCATGAGTCGAATGGCATAATATAGATGTATAAGTCTTATTTTCAATCAGTTAATGAATATATATCAGAAGATCGTATTTAAGAGTTTAGAAAAACTAATACTATCTAATATTATTTTTCTCAACTGCTTGAATATAAACAAGTTGACTGGTTGAAGATAAACTTACACATGCACGTTGCTAGTGTCCAAATTTATGCTTGCGCTAACATGCTTTTTTTTTTACACGTATCATATGTATTTTATCTTTTTAAATAAAATTCATTTATTTATATATTTTCAAAAATTATGTATCATAAATATAAAAATAATATAAATAATTTTTTGAGTATATTATTTTTATAAATAATTAAAAAAAGTTGATGTATGCACGTAGTAAAGCAAAAAAACCGAACATAGAATAGGATGGGTAGACGTTTACTTTAAACAGTGGAATGAATCTTGAAAACTTAAACAAATAGACAAAGAGTAGCATGACATGTATAGTGGGAGGGACCACGCTGCAATTTTTTTTTTATATTTTGATTCTTTTCTGATTTTAGAATTAGTCCGTTTGTCTGATGAAAAAAAAATTGAAAAACTTATTTTCCTAAAATGAGTTATATTTTTTGAAATACATTTTGGTATATTATTTTATGGTATTTGAATGAGTGGCGTAAATATTTTTTTATTGGTTGATAATTTTTTAGAAATTATTTATTATAAATATAGAATATAATAAATAATATTATTTATTAAAAATAATATTATTAATTTTAAAATATTTAAATAATTTATTTAATATTATTTATGTTAATATTATTATTAAAATATTATGTCTACAGTTTAATAAATAAAAATATTAAGTTTATTATATTTTATTAAAATAAAATTATTACAAATTATATTAATTATTTATTAAAATAAGACTAATAAATTATTAATTATATTAATTACTTATTAAAATAATAATAATATTATCATATTAAAATAAAAATATTATATTTTATTTTATTCTAAAATTTATTAATAAATATATTTTAAATATTTAATAATATTATTTTTATGGAATTAATAAATTTTATTAATTTTATTAATAATTTATTGTATATTATTAAAATTAAATTAAATATTATAATAATATAATTGAACATATTATCTAACATTAAAATAATATAATATAATATTATTAAAATTATCAATAAATATAATTTAATAATTAATATTTTTATTAAAATGATTCTAAAATAATATATTAATATTAAATGTATAAAATAATAATATTTTGAGTATTTATGTTTTGAACTGAAAAATTTAGAATAACTTACGAAAAATCAGAAAAATGAATTATATTGATCATCTATTTTATGACAACTAAACATTGAAAAATGAGGAAAATATTTTCCAAAAAACTAATTATAGAGAAACAAACATACCCTAAATAAATTGATTTTTATTTTTTGCTTCTAAGTTTTTAGTTTAAAATATCTTTAAGTTATTTATAAATACATGAATTAAGTTTAATTCTTATTTTCTCGGCAACTAATTTTACTTAAGTACTTAATTGATAATATTAATATTCGAACAATTAACATTACTTAAAAAAAATTAACATCGGGTCGCAGATTTCTCGACAAGGCAGCCATTGTGACCGAAGAAGATAATGTAAAAGCTCCTAATCTATGGAGACTAAACACTGTTCATCGAGTTGAGGAACTGAAATCAGTGATCCGAATGGGACCGATATGGGCATCAGGAATCCTCCTCATCACAGCCTATGCTCAGCAAAGCACATTCTCCCTCCAACAAGCCAAAACCATGGACAGGCGCCTCACCAACTCCTTCCAAATCCCCGCCGGTTCCATGTCCGTCTTCACCATGATCTCCATGCTCTCTACCATAGCCTTGTACGACCGATTTTTAGTCCGCATCGCCCGAAGATTCACGGGGCTCGACCGCGGTATCACCTTCTTGCACCGTATGGGGATCGGGTTCGGGATCTCGGTACTAGCCACACTTGTAGCCGGCTTCGTCGAAGTGAAACGTAAACAAGTAGCTTTGGCACATGGACTCGAGGACAAGCCTCAATCGGTCATTCCAATCTCGGTTTTCTGGCTCGTGCCTCAGTACGGTCTCCATGGAATAGCCGAGGCATTCATGTCAATAGGTCACTTGGAGTTCTTCTATGATCAGTCCCCGGAAAGCATGAGGAGCAGTGCTACTGCTTTGTTCTGGACTGCAATCTCAGTTGGGAATTATGTGAGCACGCTGCTGGTTTCATTAGTCCACAAATTCAGTGCTAAACCTGATGGATCAAATTGGCTTCCGGATGACAATTTAAACGAGGGGAAACTGGAGTATTTTTACTGGTTGATCACCGGCTTGCAAGTAGTTAATCTCATTTATTATATCTCTTGCGCCAAGCTGTATACTCTTAAGCCGATTCAAATCCACAGCAAAGTCGAGGGTGAATCTGAAGAAGATGGAGTAGAGCTTGCAGGCAAGGTTTAACGAATCTGTATATGGAACTATAGTTTATGGTAATACGTGTTAGCTTTAAACCTGTCTGGTGAAGTCGAGAATAAGCTTAGTAGATCAATAAATGAGCTGCATGTAAATCCACGACAAGTATTGGAATGTGTAGAAGATTTAAAAAGTTCACAAATTTGGAAACTTGTGTTGTTAACAAATTGGTTTTTGTCGTTTTGAATGGGTTTCATGGAAAATCAATCATAGAAGAAGAAACATAAGTGAAATATGAACATTTTGATATCAATTTTGTTATGAAAGACGATTAGTGATAGGAAGTGATTGGTTGCCAACAACGGTAAAAAAAAAGTTTAGTGCCAAAAAATGCCTCTTTTTCAAAGTTTAGTGGCAAAATCGATATTCTCATAAAATTTAATATCTAAAATGACATCGTTTTGGGTATCAATAAATGTGCCAAAACGACTTTATTTTGTCCATATCATCACAATGATAGAAACATTCGTCAATGTCATCGTGCCACTAAAATTTAACGACTTAGTGGTATACTTAAAGTTTTTTTAATAGTATGGGATGATTATAAGATAATGTATGTTCATAACCTTTTTAACATCTTGATAATGCATACACACTTTACAGACACACTACTACAATTAGAAAATCTGAAGGTTCAATATAACACCTAAAGTTAAGTAGTATATGATATAGTATATCCTAACAAAAAAATACCCAATCAAAAACAAGACAGACAAGAAGATTCCTTAACCGACCTACAAAAGTAGGACAATCTTGATACAAATTCAATCGTGTATCGAAGTTGTCGACAATAGTTTTCGTCCGAGTGACATTTTATATACATTATTATAATATAATAATATTATATATTAATATTATTATTTATAAGGCCCGGCTACAAAGTAAGGCACGTAGGCCCAAGTTATAGGCTCGGTTACAACCCAACTCAAGATAGGTTTAGATTTGGGTTACAATTGATTCAGGCCCGATAACCAGTTCAGGCCCAATTTCAGCAAGCCCACGAGAGAAGCCCGAGTAGCTAGGGTTTCCATCAAACGATCCAGAGCCGCCAGCAGCTCAACCACACGATCAAAGGCAGATCCAACGGTCCACAAGACACCAACAGAATTAACCCTAGGGTATCATTACCACCTTAGGGCCTATTCCGGCCACCGCCTCCACAGCTCCAATCCAGCGCTGCCACGACAATTGCCGCCTCTCCAGAGCTATCCCGAAGGATCCAGAAGATCAACGAGAACTGCACAACACAATACTCTATGGTGAGTCACCGCCATAGGTCTGGTGACTCATCGGATTTCCTCATCATTACAGAGGATCTCCAGAGGCTATATAAACCCCCATCACCTGTAAAGAACAAGAACAATAACAAGAGACAGAGAGGGCAAGACACAGAGACAGCAAAGAGAAACAACCAACAATAGCCATTCGAAACCGAGAAGAGAGCAAAAAAGCTTACCATCGTCGAAGTCTGAACGTCGTCAGAAAGTTGAGTAAATCGAAGGTAATATATCATATCTTGGTCGATTGGAAGGGTTTTAGAGAAAAAGAAGGGTAGATTCGGGTTAAGTGTGTCTCGATCTACGTTTTAGGAAAGTTCGGCGTTTTCCGACCACCGTGAGTAGTGGCCTGCGGTGGCAGTCGACGATGGTGCATGACTACCGGTCGGTGGTAGCTATCCGTCTGGTGAGGGTTTTTAGATAGATGCTAGAGCATCTCTCATTTAGAGAGAGAGAATAAAGGAGAGAAATGAGAGAATAAAGGCCTTAGGGTCGATTTTCGGGTTTAAATACCCTCCCTCGTGCGACGTCATTTTGGGGAGGGTATCTTTGTAATTTTAGCATGGGTAAATTACAAGCGTGGTCCCTCCTAGTTCTGTAAACATTCATTTTGGTCTCGAAATTAGGTTTTTCGTATCTTTTAATTATGTTTTCGCATTTTAGCTATTTTTATTTTAGTCACTATTACGTATATATAAATATAATTACGTTAAATATCACATTCAGTCCCTTAAATATTGCTAGTTCATATTTTAATCTCGTATTAGCAATTTAGGGTAAATTACATAATTAATACATAATTATAGTATTATTTTGAATTAAGTTAATTAATTTTAATATTTTATGTTTTAAATATTAATTATTATTATATGATTAATTATTATTAGTACTTTAGGATTATTATATATAATTCATAATTTATTCTATATAATTTTGATATTAAATATTATTATAGGATTAGTAATATTTATATTAAATATTGTTTAATATTTATTTATATTAAGCTATTTAAAATTAAAGAGCAAATTTCTAATTTACTGCAAAGACACTGATTAATAAATACTGGTACCAATTTTGGGCGTTTTGGGAGTGTTAATCCTTATCCATACGTAACCGACTCCCAAACTCATTTTTCTGGTAAGCAAACCCGAGTTGTATTATTTTAATATTATTCTTAGGAATTTTATTAGAATAATATGACATTTTGGTGACCAATCTCACCAAATAAAAATATTGGTAGTGACTCTACAATTTGGTGTTTTATTTGATTCAATGAGGATAAATGTAATCCCCTCAGACCAATACAAGTAATCCGATCCGATCTGGGAAGTCACATTAAGGCCACCGGAGCGACCCACCGTAAAAATAGCGAAAAATTTAAAATTTTATCAAATCATGTAAACTCATAAAACTATTTATAAATATAAAAGTAAACTTTACCGATTTTCAGAAATAAAATAGATTTTCAGACTCATATATAAAACAAAATACAATTACATGCACCCTGATCACATGTACCATACTCTGCAAGCAACGCTGGAAGAACTTCCTTACTGATGTTGATAGATGCATTGGTACAATTCTTTTAACCTGCAATGGTGAGTAATAGAGTGAGCTTCGGAAAGCTCAGTAATACAGAACTACCAGATGATGTTACAGGACATACATATAAATGGAAAGCCATATATTTTCCTTATTGAATCAGACATATACCGGTTTTCGAGATAATCTGGGGTTCCACTGGTAGTTCATCAAGTAGAAGCCATGAAGATCTTAGGTTATAAGGATGTCTAGTATGTTCCAACAGTATGATAAAATCATAATAGGTACACTAATCAAGTAATAGTTCAGTAAAATCTCATAAATCATATTGTAGTTTAGCTTTTTAAACTCATAGTGTAAACCCATTGTATAAACCTAAGGGAACATCTTAGGGCCTGAGAGCCTACCCAAGAAAGTTTTTGGGGCCACAGGGCCTACCTGAGAACACATCTCAAGGCCGCAAGGCCTACCCGAGAATGATCTCAGGGACGCAAAGCCTACCTAAGAGTCACATTAGGTCCATAAAAATTTTCCAGCTTGATCAGAGTTGTACTTTATAAATCAGTATCTCCATGATACAATTTATACAGTGATACAATTCTATAAGCCATCACCATTAAGTTGATGCATCCATAAAACAGTAACCATAGATTTTAGTGTACCACATGTTAAAATAATAAAATAATTTAGTAATATATAGGGAACACACTAGAGAATCCAAGTATTTTTCAGAGGCATTTTGTAGTTATCAGTATGGATAACATGAAACTTATACAATTTGATCAGATTCCAGGAACGAGGTCCTATTGAAAGAATAAATTACTAACTGATCTAATGAGACATTTAAGGTTGATACTTTAGAATCCCACTATGATTCATTTGCATCAGGAAAATGTTCAGGAACATTTATACAGAATAATTCTAGATTCAGATTTGCTGAGAGTGATTCCATTACCCAAACAATCATGAGTATCAGGAGTATACATTGAATTTATAGGATTTCAGCGCAATTGAACCAAATGGGGGTATTCAGGATCGTTTGTATCTAAGATACTTGCATGTTTAGATATAACCCTAGTGATTTGAGCTGATAAAGGAGAAACGAAGATTGATAACATTTACCGTTTATATTGATCAATCGAATTATCGAACAACTCCCAGAACTGATGCCTGTTGAATGTCAATTTGTTACCTTTCCAGGGTATTCACTCTTTAATACTAACAATTCTTGTCCGTAAATCATCTTCATAATCATTGCTGAATAGATCTTCTAATGGTATTTGTTTCATTTCCACGTTTCAATGATATCAGTAAATACTGACGTACTTGATTCATGGCTCATGACCCATAAGGACAATTCATCATGTAAGTTAAACAGTGCTTACAGACTCATCCAAATCACTTATTTAATCCTCTGTCATTGAGGTTACTTAGTTCATTTAGCAACCATGTCTATCCCGGTTACTTCAGAGTTTTCCAGAGTAATTCAGACGTTTCTAAATTCAGATACATATTGTACTTATGTTCAGTTCAATTTGGTATTCGTGGTTGATTTGTCTAATGAATATCCTCTTCTTAGCACCGAATGCGCTCTAGAGTTGAGCTTACCTGAGTACTACCAGAATTATCATCGATCAAAATTTGATGAGACGAATAAACATTCAAGTGGTATCTATGCTATTCAAGTACTGACATAACATTAGCGTTGGTCGACCTACTTAAGTTGTGTTCCATATCTTTTAAGGGCAAAACAACATCCATGTTTATTTGGATTTCTTAGTTAATCCAAGACATTTACTTAGTCGAGTCCATAAGGGCATTTTGGTCATTTTGGTGCTCAATATTTTTTCCATTCATTTCAAAATTAAGGATATCTATTTATTCCTGGGCTTGGTGATATTCTTGAGTCATTTCCATTACAGGGATATTTTGGTCATTTTACAGATCTAGGATATTTCAATCTTTTCTTCCGTCTGGTCTTATTATTTAATTTAAAACTTATCATTTACTGCAGTCATTTCAAACAATTCTGACAAAAGAGCACTATCAATAAATTATTCTTCAGGTATTTACTCTTACTCAGAGATTTTCAGGTCAAATGCCTTCTCAGATTTTACAAACATAATATCAAAATTTTATGTACAAAGACATGATCTTAATAATTAAATTCGTAATTTATCGAGTTAAGTACTAATCCTCAAAGTACTTTCTTATTCAGGGTCAACTCGGACTATTTTTACCTCTAAAGGGCATTCTAGTAATTTTGTAATTTCTTAACCATATAATCTCAGTATTAAAACTCTT